CTATTTTACTGTAAGGGAAATGATTTTGTCTCGCTGTTGTCGAATAAACAAATTTGTTATTGATAATTATCTGGCAGATAGAAATTCTTTTTAAACTTTAATTGTATGCCCAAAATCATGCTATTGTAGTGAATAAGAAATACTGTAATTGTTTCTCAAATAATGACAAATTTGTTACATCATCTATTGTCATAGTATCATCGTAGAAACACTATTTTGCTATAAAAGGTCAATAATCCAGCATAGAGTACTACAGCGACACAAAATACATTCAACCGAGGCCATTTTCTCTATCCACAAACATTTTATCCCAATTTCTAACATAATTATTATTAAGTTGTATCTTAATTTTTCCTTGTAAATGTTAATTGATGATAAATGTGTGTTCGATAACAAACTTTTTGTGTTTTTAGTACATTTTGATTGTAAATTGCTAGGTTTTAAAATGCCTATTCCAGAAAGCCTATTTTAAACCATTAAGATTATGAAGTAATTCATGCGTAATGAATGGTAACTAACGCCCAGAGGGGGCCACCTGGTGTTGTGATGACACGGCTATGGTACTTTATAGTAACACTTGAAGCAGTCTGCAAATATGCTAAAAATAGTGTTAAAAGATCAATTCTATTTCATTAAATAATGATGACTTCAACATTAATAAATAAATAATAATTCTGGATTTATATAGCACCTCGCGTTGTCACAACCTCGAGGCGCTTAACAACAACAGAGAAAGAAAGAAAAAAAACCCAAAACAAATGTGCAAATGTACCAAAAATTATAATCAAATATTTGGGTTTTAGTTTAGTTAGTTAAGTTCAAATGATTGGTTTGATGATTATCAATAAATATTATTACAATACTTTGGTATTTGGAATCATTTCAAGGCCTGTTACTTTCCTATTTTTCCCAAAGCCTTTCATTTTTATTTTGCTTCTTGTCTTTCTTCCTTTTCCCTTCAAATGTTCCTGATCTTTACTTTCCTTGTCCTTTCTTATTTTTCCTTATCTTTCACATTCCTTTCTTAGATTCCTTATCTTTCATTTCCTTTCTTTCTTATTATTCCGTATCTGTCTTTAATATTTCATTCTTATATTTCTTATCATTTCTTTTCTTTTCCTTTCTAATGTTTCCATGTCTCTCTTTCCTTTCTTTTCACAAACATTAATTTGCATAAAAAATTATCTTTATTGTACAAATCAGTACCTGCGAAGTAACTAGAGGGCTTAATTTTAAGCTTGCAAAGTATGTCACACGTTTATCTTTTTTGAGGTGTTGACATTAATTGGAAGAGTAGGGTATTGTGTTTCAGCATACCATCCATTCAACGTCAGTGTACTTGAAACAGAAGTACTCTGTATGCTATATATTGCCTTTATTTGTATTTTCTACAAGTGTGTTGGATTTACGCCAATTGACATAAATTGCATAACTCTACTCAAGGTATTTTTCAAAGGTGAATGTGTGATACACTGATATGAATTGTTATTGTAGTTTCTCGAATATAAGCCCACACCCTACTTTACACCCAATTTTATGTATCAGCTTTTCCTCAGGCAAAAGCCCAGGATATTATTTGAATGTGTAGCTAAGCTGAATTTGACAGCCGGTTGAATAGACATTCTCGAAAATTATAGGTGAACAATTTTTAAAAAGGGATTTTTTTTTAGAAGGTGATTCCCTGAGAATAAGTGCACCCCCCTCAATCATCCCAATTGTGTATTCAAGAGAGTGGCTTATACCAGAGTAACTACAATAGTATTCAGTTAGTGATGTAAGCTGCAGTACAGTTATTTTAGTCAAATTAGATACTAGACTGTTCACACTGCCAGATTGCCGGATTTCCTTGCACAATTTTAAACAATGCAAAAGTGTTCTTACGCAGCTATTTTGTAGCACAGTTTTGAAATTGCGCAAATATGGCAAACTGTGCATAACACAAAAAAAATCATGTTTCGCATTCTTCCTTTATGGAATTCGGCCATGCCTTTAATAGTTAACAATCGTTGAATTCGGCCATGCCTTTAATAGTTAACAAATGTTGAATGCTTTTGCTGTACTACACACCGTGAATCTGTCATTTGACAAAGACTGTCTGAATGTCTGTTGAGTGATTAAATAAAATCCAATTTCCTGGTATGTTGTTGATTGATTTTCTACACCTCAGTAAATTCCTTTCGCTGGGTGATCTATACATTTAATCCATTTACTTGTCGTCACTTCTGACAGGTTGTGATGTTCTAAAAAAAAAACAAAACAAGTAACTTTCTGATTCACTGAAACTCAACAAATTTTTCTACCACCACTCCCTTATATGATAAAATATGAGCTTTTAGGTGTTAATGTTTTACGGCAATGATTACTAAGTAATGCATTTTATTTTTGGATCAACATCGTTCTGTAGTTTTCTACCAAAAAAATCTTTTCAATTGTTGTGAACGATCTAGTGATCTAACAGTAACATGAAAGGCAACGATGGGTAACAAAGAAGGAATTATTCTGATTGTCTGTAATTGTGCAGACAAGTACCATAAAAATGCCACCTATTCATGTGCTTAACATTAAGCTGATCTACCCTAAAGCTAAAAAATTCTCTACTCCATTGTACCCACTTCTTCGTAAGCCCTAAGCTTGTCATGCATGAATTCCTTTTTCACAGAGCCTAACTAGTTGGAAGTCGAAGCGCATACAGTACACTTCGACAGAGCGCGAACGCAAGGCTGAAAGAGACGAGGTGGAACAAAACGAAACTCAACGCCAAAGGAGGAAGAGTAAAACATACCGTGAAATAGTTGAGGAAAAGTAAGTTGTCTTTTATTTGTTAATTTTCATATAATGTTACTACTGCATATTGGTGAATGTAAAAAAAAACCCTAAGAGTACTCCTCAAAATTAAAGCCAAAAAGCGTTGCTTATCTAATGTTTTATGCACACTGAACCCTCTGTGAGAACAGTAACATTTTACTGAAGGGTAACCCAGTATAAATTAACAAACATTAAATTAAAAAGTAATATAATGTTTGTTAATTTAACATAAGAAAAAATATTTTAGAAGTGATGTGTTATCGTACCGAATACTCAGTACATCCCCAAATACTAGTGAAAACAATTTGCAAGTGATTTGGGTGGAAATCGAACCCACGACCCCCAGGTATCTAGCCTGATGTCTTAACCACTGAGTATTCGATAATACGTCAGGTAGGACAAAATATCACTCCTATGATATTTTCCTGTGCAAACTCGCATCCTAAATAAAAAAAAATTTTTTTTTATATTTAATTTGCTAAGTTATAACTTAATATATATATAATTACAAATACAAGTCTTGAAATTGATTTTGTCACAAAAAGATAACATCAACAATTATTAATAGTGTTTTAATTACAATAACTCAAATAGTGAATTGAATTGTTAGGTTATAACTTAATGTTTAATTATTTTACTTTGGTATAACATACTGTAACAAAGCACAAGTCAATGACCTTGAAATTGATTGTATCACAAAAAGATAACATCACAATCATTCATAGTGTTTTAATTACATTAATTCAAATAGTGAATTGTTTTTTTAATAGCCATCATAGACATTATTATCATGGCCATCTAGGTTAAAATTGATATTACAGAGGTAACGCTAACTTCGCCATTTATTAATAAAGATAATTCAATTACATTATAGTTCAAATAGTATTATTTTTTTCAAGTTTATTTTTCATGATGGACATTATTTATAGTATAGTTTTGATCATGGCCAACATTTGGCATGTTATCAGTATTTATAAAACTAGGTTAATTGTTTCAACAAGTTTGCCAATACGCCTGCTATTGCATTTACAACGCAGTACAAACACCCTATTAGCGAGATCATTTAAAACAAAAGCACAATAACAAAGGAGACAATAAAGGTAATAAAAGAATTGTGTCAACAGAAATTTGATTCTTAACATACATTCACGAGACTGTTTTCACAGTGGGTTGAACCAAATAATGATTACCCAATTTTCAAAATAAGTGGTGTGGTGCACAAAATAAGATGTTAATTGAAAACTTAATGATGGACAAAACTGTATAATTTTGGTGTAACGAATTTACTCTCTACCACTTTTCTTTAATTTATTCACAAATTTTTGGTTGCCTTACAGTAGAAAAGTAGATTAGTGACAACAAAGCTAGCAGAAAGTTTTGCAGAAACAGAATTTTGATTATTTAGTTATACTGCCCTCTATATGGTATATTAATTGTTTTAGCTACTATATTTCTACCTTTTAGTTCTTTTCTTTCTTAAATAATTTTACAGGGAGAAGCGAGAAAAAGCACTACAAAAAATTTACAAGAAAAAAGCGAGTGTTGATGACGAAGATATAGATTATATTATGAAAACGGATACTAAATTAATTAATATGTCAGAAGACGAAGATTCCAGCCCAGAAGAGGAAAACTTCGAACCTCAGGTACAGTTACAACATCAAAACTTTTATTATGAAATCATAAATTTACATGTTCATTGTTTTAATAATTATTTTGATATTACTTGTTTTTACATTATATAGAAAGTACAGGAAGAGGCTGATCACTTATCTAAAAATTCTGACATTTTTTCATATTTTAAGGTGGTTCTAAATATTTTGCCGTTTGTTTGTGGTCAATCATTCAAATTTTCCATTTACATATTTTAAATCTAGATATTTTTGGAGCACAATGGAAATTTGTTTGCCAGTTTGGTACTTTTTTTAAATCAGATTAAAGAAGTAAAATAATAAAATAAATAATAAAGCTTAAGAAGGTATGAATGCATTAAATTAACGAGGTGATTAATATTTTAAGTGACACAATACTATACACACTTTTGAACATTTAAAAAAAAAAATATGTTAAACATGAAACTTGGCTTTAACTGAAGAACACTTTACATCGTTCCATTAAAAAGTATGTTTTTCTTTTGTGGTCCAATAAAAAATAGGGTTAAAATTTAAATCTAGATTAGGTTTACCAAATCAACATTTTTTAACAATTATCATCAGAAAGGATAATTAAAGAGGCATAGAACTATCTAGAGCACAGTACAGAAAAGTATAGTGGTTGTCAACCGTCACCAAGGTATTGCCTTGCCAACTCTACTGGGTCATTGCTTAGGTCAAAGCATTAAAGCGGAAGTTCATTACAAAGCTTTAAACTAGGTCAGGGCATTTTACCAAACCTAAAGTTATAATTAATTTTCACTATTGTTATTGTTATTAAACTGTAATTTAATAGATAGCATTATGCCAAATCCAAACAGTTCAGGATGGTTATATTTGAACATAAAATGTGGATGAAGTTGAGTTCACTGGAATAAGAGCACTTACAATAGCTACAGTACTTTAACTAGGCAAGCATACTATAACATTTTATCCATAATAAGATATTCCCAGCATACTTGATTAAACTTAGTAATTAGTTCTGTAAACCAATGCATATTCTTCCAAACAATCTTTGAAGGACAGGCTTCAAAATATCCTAATTATCAAAGGTTTAGAAAATTAAGCATTCGTGGACTGTTTGCTTAAAGCAAGTAATCTTTTACTGCTTTAGTACGCAAAAGGTTCTTCATTTTCTAGTTGAAGGCACAAGCTTTGTGTAGTTATTAGTTTTTGTGCAGACCATGTAATTGTTAGCCATGGTTCACAAGGCTCAACGATGCTGTCTCCTAATGACAGATAATTTTATATAAATTCCACAGTTTCTTGGATATAAGCACTTATCCCTCCCCTTCCCCCTTTTTGCTTACCTCCTACCTTATACATTAGGACCAGCCTCCCTGCAGTATAATTTTTCCACAAAATGAAAATACAGGCTTTAAAAAGAAAATCTTAACGACAAAAATCAAAACCTATAGGATTCCTGTAGGATTTTTTTAGGAGTACAGTAAATGCAAACTTGCATGCTTAGCTATGTAAGGTAAGTTTATCTTGGGCTTGAGAGAAAGCCAACCTTGGTCTAAACCTTCTCAAATTGTCCAGTAAAATTTCTGTTCTACCTGGGTGGAGCTCCAACCTTGATTCTCCTAAATAGACTTTGTTTACACTTTGTCTAAATTGCATCCCTTGTAGTCTTTTGTGGTAATTGTTTTTGTGCCATACTATTTTTCTGTTAAATCTAAACATCCTGACTTGCGTAACACAAACAATGTAGGCAAAAGGCAATTCTTTTCAATTATTATCTGCAATGCATTGTGATGTTTAAATTTAAAAAAATATTTTAACTTCGAGTAAGGAAAGTTAGAATTAACTGGATCAAATTTGGCTTTGCTAGATTTTTTATCTAACAAAAACCATTTAAGCATAATTATGTTAATATAATAGTAGCAGAAATTACTGAATTGTTTTATATTAAAGTTAACATATGGTAACCTTACAGGTATTCAAAAAATAATAATTTCTCATTTAAATAGTAGAATCAATTAAGTTATTAATTCACAATGGTACATGAATTAAATCTATTAACTATTTAGATTTGGCTGATTCACAGACTTTTTCACAAATCCATAATTTACTGCCTACCAGCTAATTCAGTTAAGGATTTAGGCAAAGAACAGAGAAAAGGTAAATTATTAATTTTCATTACAGTAAATGAAGAGGAAATATTTTCAATTGTAAACTAATACATTTTCAAAATATACAAAGTAAAATAGTATAAATATTTAATGCAATCGTTTGTTAGCTTTTGTTAGCTTTCATCATAGATAAAGCAATTGATTTGGAAAAACGCAGTTAGAAAAAATCTAAACCACAGAACAGTTTTGCTGTCATATATTCAATAAAAAAAATACACAGGAATGTTCACAGGATTCAAGGTCTGAGAGATAAAGATAAAGACAGAATAATTTGACAGAAAGGGAAGTGTTTGGCAGAGATTATGTGTACTTGAGTAGGCCTGATGATCCAGAACAAGGTAAGTGATTGTGCGAGTATGCCCAATGGGGGCGGGCTGATTCATAATCTATGCAGTGCTGTTTGGTGGCTGGATTAGTGACGCAACCAGTCACTGTGCAATCTACTGGAAAAAGTGCTACTGTACTGTCAGAAAAGAGGAAGGAGTGTCTATATAGTTGGAATCACAAGGCCTAGCTCTAGCAGTTTTACAAAAAAAGTGGTTCTAAAAGGTTTGTTGCTCTTGGGAAAACTTCACATAAAGGTCACTTATAACTTAAGTTCTTTTGCTTTGGAATTTTTATTAGAAGTTACATAGGTAAGGTAAGTATATTCTTTTTGTACTAAAAGTTATGTTGAATCTTTGATACATGTTTATAGTTTTAGGTCAGTTCAAGACCTTTGACAATCCTCAACCCTACCTTCTCAGAAAGTCTTTTGTAGGGTAAACAATCAGTCTGCATTAGTTGATCTTGTAAAATATGTTGTAGATTTTATTTTATTATATTTGTAATACCTTCATGACTTTCTCTCTGAAGTTGCCAAACCTTGATTGTCATCTAGAGTGTTTTAATTACTTAATAATTGTTTTAAAAGCACATTGGAAATTTTTATATAGAAAAGCTATGTATGGTGAAGTTTTCTGGAATTAATTTATAATAACTACCCTCAACTTGAATTGAATTGAAGGTATACATAGTGAAGTTGTTTTTAGCAAGAAAAAAATCCATCTCTAAAACAGGATTTAGCTGGAAGAAGGCAAGCATGTTAATCACCGATCTATGGGTCCATTCCAATACATTTCAAATGTTCAATTAATACTATGATCTTTGTATTCATTACACAACATCAATTAACAATACATTCCTGTGACAATTTCTAACAAACAACTGGATAAAATTTCAAATAGATACCTTCGAATGATCACGGTAGCCAATTAGCAACAGATAACAAATAATTTGATGGTGATGATTTGTGGCGTTTGTTTAGACAATAATGGGATTGTAGGAATGTGTGGGGATGGTAATTACAGGTGCGACTACTCCAGTGTAATTTATATTGCATAGCATATAATATACACTGTCCTTTATTTATGGGTAAGCAGTTGTACTGTACTGACATTTGGCAGTTGGCTCCATATGAATATTATGGCTTTGTATATACTGTAGTTCTGAATTGGCTTTAAAAACCACCTGAACCTGCCTTGATATAACCTTTTTTCCTAAATCATGTATTGGACGACTTAAGTAAGTAATTTACTAGGCTTATGAAGCTATACCTTAGATAGTATTTATGTTTCATTATACAGGTCCCCCAGACAACAAAGGTAAGTAGGCTGGCTAGCCCAAATAGCCATTTAGCTCTATGATCTGTATGATCTGACTGAGCATTGGCTAGGTTGTGAATTGTTCTGTAGACAAAATGGTGTTAGATTAGCTATGTTTGACTGATTTACTATGCTAGACTTTGTACTACATTACCCCCAGACAACAAAATGTAAGTAGTTTGGCTAGGCCAGGGAGTTCTTTTGCTAGACTATCTCACTAAGCCTTTGGCTAGGTTGTGAATTGTTTCTCTAGACCCACAGGCAATAGTTACAGATTAGCTACCCCTGATTTTAATACAATACTAGACTAGTATAAAATCGAGCCCCGCTAAGAGATTCAATTATTAGCTGTCTGCTTTAATTAATTCATTAATAGGAATATGTCACTGACATATATATAAGACTGACCCATCAAGAAATGCTAGTAATGGTATTGTTCGAACTTTCAAGGTAACATTGCTGAGGTTTTTAGGAAGTACAAAAAGTGCAAGCTTCCTATATTAGAAGGAAGCATGTGTTTGTTTTGGGGTTTAATTTGTTACTACTCATACTAGAACCACCAAGTGTCTGGTCTTGTTAATGATTCACTGTTTATCAATTTGTGGTCTAATAAAACACCTAAAAATTACAACTGCAGTTCAGAAGAGGTATTTTATATTTCTGAAATTCTTTTTTAATTGTGTGGTATGATTGCCTTGAGGAAGGGTGATTGTTTTTATGTTCCTGAAATTTTAGAATATTTTTTATTACATGGTGTGAAGGCCTTTGGGATTGAAGTTTACATGATTGTGGTTTGGGCGCAGAAGAATAGCTTTATACTTTCAATTGCATTGTGGGAAGCATATGGCACAGTGTATAAAGCCGAGCACACTGCGCCCGACGGTCGTCGGCCGACGCGATTCTATAAAGAACACAACGTCACGACGTCCGCGCAATGGATCTTTTCTAATGACAATCCATTTAGACTGCCACCGACAACCACCAGACAGCGTCACGTTGTATAACATTCACGGTATGCAGAGTTGAATTCGTCGGCCGACGATTGTATGACACAGTAAGTGCCGGTTTAAGGTGTTGGACTTTCAGTCGGAAGGTCAGGGGTTCGAGACCGATGCTCGTCACACTTCTTGTGTTTCTGGGCAACAAACACACTTTATCTACAGTACATTATTTTGCCTATAGCTCTTCACCCAGGATTATAAACGGGAACCTGGTAGGAGGTGAATGTTTCGGAATAAAATTAATAGTTTTACTACTCGTAAAAAGGGCACTACGGTATATAAGTGCTAAAATAAAATAAATAAAATAGCAACTCAGAAATTTTTTTTAATTGAATTTGTAAAAAAAAATCATACTTGAAACTGGAGAGAAAAAAATCTTGGAAATGAAGTTTATCTGAAGTCTGAGTACAACATGCTCAGAGAATGTTTGACCAAAATTATAAATAAGTAAATAAAAAGACAAAAAAAAAAAATTCAGGAAGAAAATGTGCTGCTTCAAATGATAGTACTGTAATTAGCACCATTGAATGTTCTTGTTGGCCCCCACTCCCAATTAGATCCCCAACCCTCTACTGTATGGGTTCTGTCTTCCATATCATTTTAACAAAATATTTGCGAGATTTATATGACAGTTATAATCAATAGATATTTTTACAGTGTGTCTGGTTTTTCATTATCTCCACAACTAGTGGTTAACACCTTGTTGTATACACCAGGTATAAACCTTATTGATTCAACACAGCTTTTGACATATTTCTGATAAATCTAGTGATAAATGAAATCCATAATTAGAAATGATACTCTGTGATTTTCAAAGTAGATCTATCTATAATGTGAATAAGCTAATCTCTGACAAAAGATTGATTGATTGATTGATTAAATTTATATCTGCAAGAAACTAAAAACAAAAATTAAAAAATAAAATTATTATTTAATATGCTAATACTCTATATTACTGTATATTAAATGCTTGCAGTCAACCACATACCTACAGATATTTCTGAAAAGAACTGTTATTTTTGTTGAGAATGTTTCAATCATCATCAGGAGAATAATATTGCATTTAATATATTATGTATACTTCGCCATGCAAACCTTTAAACAATATTTTACTCTATACTATAAGTATGTTCTTGGTTTTTAATTAAAAAAAAATTAATGCAATTAACATTTGCCTTGCAGCTATATTTTTCATAAAAGTATACTGTAGTTCAGAGAAACAACATGTTACTTTTACAAGGCTATTTATGGGCTTGTGACGTAAATCTAAAAACATTTGTACTGACAAAAGTCCTTGTAAAACGTGTTTAGATACGTATGAATGAGCATCCAATTGCTGCCTGGCACTTGAAGTTACTACAAACTGTTTGTGGTTTAGTGGTTTACTGTATGTGCAGAATGTGGATTTTATTTTTAATATTTTTCTATTGTATTTTGTGTTCCATTAGCTTGTTTAATATACCTTCAGTTATATATCTCCATATCAATATTATATTTTCAGAATATAGAACTATAAATAAATCTTGGATATTTTTATGAAATTTTAATTTAATCATTTATTTTTAACAGCAATATTTATGATGATTATTTTAATGGTTTCTTGATTATCTGTGCTATTTTTGCTAAAGACATTTAATTACAGTTTCTTTTATTATTTTCAACCTTGCCCATGTCTTTATCAAATTTTTTATTACTTTATCGTGTCTTAATTATATTATTATTATTATTATTATATTTTATTACTGTTTGGTTTGCTATATTGTTTCTTTTAAATATGTTGTTTAGTAAATCTTAACAGTTTGTTTTTATGTTGGTTTTTGTTTGCATGCTTTTTCGTTTTTCCAGACAAGATATCGTTCTAACACCCTTCCCAAAAGTTTTGGGAGCCAGTTCAAGGAAGCACCCCCAACAGCTCCAAAACCTGCGACAAGACTAGCGCGCCGTATCCAAGCTCATAAAAAGGCGCCGGAGGAGTCCTCTGCTCCTCCTGTCCGAAACAGGCCGAGTGTTATCGGGCTTTTTGACGAACCTGACGTTAGTATTGAAACAAATTTGTGGAAATTCTCCTTGGGGTTTAAGTTTTTCACTTTACTGCTTTCTCTCCTTTGCTTAGCTTACTACTATTCATGCACTGTTTACTTTTTTACACTCTTTAGATTTCACGTACTATGCTTTAATGTTTCGTACTCCTTTTCGCTGCACTTAATTACCTTTTATTCATCAGTCATTGTTCTGTATTAGGATTAGTATTAAATAATTTCTCCTTATCATAACAAACAATATTCTGCTTACTAAATTCATGTTCTTTAATCCATGAAATGTCTAAAGAAATGTTTGTTTTTAAATGAATTCTTGTAAAAGAGTTCATTTAGCACAGAATGAGTAAATTAACGGTATAATTAGCCATATCGATAACCACTTTAATCATACACAAAAGTGATTCATTTTATGTAAACAAACCATCAAGACCTTAGATTATAATTTTGTTAGGCTCACAGACTTTATTATTTCTAAGCCTATTTAAAATGGACTACCATCCTGAAATAAGCCCTATTGTAGGTTCAACTGTATATTAGTATGTCAAAGGTCAATGCATATAATTATACACTTGTCTTATTATACTTTAGATCTTATGACGCTAATTTATAGATGTTGATCATCACAGTATTAATAGCCAAATACTACATTCAATCTTCAAACACTGTTAAACTACATTTAAATAAAATGAGACATTACTTATTAGGGTTTATATTATCTTGACCTTCTACGTATACCATGTGTAGTTAAAACTACAAAAAAATAATTTTCGGCATAACCTTGCACATGCTAAGAATTATAATGTATCGTACAACACATTGATCAGACTTTCAACTCCTGTCCTTTTTAGCACTATTTAATTATCACGAAGTATGTCCAGCAACCAGGAGTACTTTGTCCCCATTTTGACTTATGCTTACTTCCATATTGTGGTTTTGAAAAGCCTACTACACTAAGTTAATTTTAGTGGGTTGTGCTTCCTTTCGCCAGACCCTCATTATCTGATTAGTCCTGAGGTGAACCAGGAAGAAGTAAGGTTGACTTAAGCACTCGGTGAACTGACAGGCTACTAATTTGCATGGACCTTTCCTGTGTGTCTATCAAATTTAACTGACCATTCATCAGGATGTAGAGCAAGGAATATATGCCTGTCCCATGAGCATACATCTTATGGTACTTTAGCAACCATTTAAAAGGGGTGAGACGTCGCAGAAAGGTTCATTATTTTCTGCACAAAGATGTAATGCTAGATCTACTGACATCCCTGTATTAGAACATGATCTCCAATATAGTCAACCAGTTTTATGCATACGAGAACAAATGCCAACCAGCATCTTTAAACATTAGTTACTATTTATTCTATAAAAGGGAATTTTAAGTATCATTAATACAATTCGATTTTAATACTGCAATTCTATCCAACAAAATTGAATTAACCTGGTGTTTTAATGCTTGTAGTAAGTTGAAATATTTGGGTAACCTCTGCTATTAAAAGAAATTCACAGTGCTCATTAATTCTTTTCATTTGCTACTATATAACATCTGCTACAAAAGTGTGGTTTGAGAGCTAGTGAGTGATTGAAAAAAATGTCATGTATAATAAAACTCGTTTCATATTTATTTTTAATATATTTGTCCTGGAAAACTGACACGATATCACAATATCTATTTACTTTAGTGAGCTAAAATTAGAATTCAGACCTTCCATAAAATATATACAAACATATAAATCAATATTTTAAAAAATCCCAGATATTGTTATAGAAGTATATTCTAATGGCAACCCACAGGTCTATTACTAATATATTGGGGCATATCATGGCCAATCGCAGAAGTGAAGAACTCAGAATGTTTAAATTTACACAGTAGATGAATTTGCTCTCAGTTTTAATAGACAATTATTAACATTCTAACTTGGTTTCTGCCTATAGGATTAAATTATCATTAATTTCTCCTGATTTCTATTCTTCATAAATGCATGCTCATTCACTTTTCCAATTACTGACAATATTTTTTTGCTCTTCAAAAAGATTAATTGTCAATTTGCTAAAAAAAAAACTTTCTCGCTTATCATACTGAATTCCATTCCTAACATGGTGGCAGGATAAGTCACTAGGTCAAGTCACTGCGAGTTGACAAAGTCGGTACTATAACTAAGCTTCAGCTTTGTCAAGCATCCATGTGTAGCTGTTTTTGTCTATCATCTTTGTTGTTAAAAATTAATCATTGTGTATCCATTTAAATATTGTCATTTAAAAGTATTAGTATAAATGTTTCACATTATTATTGAATGCACATGACTGCCACTATATATGATTCAAGTTGAGGTCTCAGCAGTGAGAATCAATCATTGAGAAGCTATCATATTAAGGATGACTTTAAGGATGTCTTAGGTAGCTAATTCTAAGGTTAGCCAACTCTATCCACCGGCTTTAAAGGTTAGCCTACAGATCTTACACAAATCCATGGTTACTGCCTTAAAGTCAGTTCATATTAGAAGTCTGAATGGCTAAATTCTAGCGATCGTATTAAAAATTAACTACAGAAGAAAGGTGTAACAGGGTTTTTAATATGCTACTGTATAAGGAAGTTATTTACAGACAATGTATTTCATATTTATAAGTATTTAGTTGTATTCTTCCACCATAATATCTTTATTTAAATAATTATTATTATAGTTGTATTTTTGTATTTCTATCTCCAGGGTGGAAAGAAACCTGAACCAGAGCGTGTGAACGAGCCGATCGTACAACAACAATTCAACAGTATGGAAAAATCCAAACCGCACGATTTCCGCGGAAACTTCCAAAGCAAACTAGTGAGTGCTCGGGAGCGTGAACATGCAGAGAACAGTAAGAATTCAGTTTGGCAACCGGAAAAGCGCCGCGTTAGTCTGGGAATAAAAAGCCGCATGGCTGCTTATAATCAGAGTCTGGATTTAGACTCACAAGTTCCAAAGAAGCCTGAACCAAAGAAAGATGATGAGGTAGGTTAGATTATAGAAACATTGCATTATGGGAAACCTATATGATTACCCATAATACAGCACAAAACGTTAAACAGGATCATTGGTAAATGGATATTAACTATATTCACTTTTTTTGGCATTGATTGGTTAATTGTTGATTGATTGATTGATTAATTAATTGGACTTTAATGCACTGATTTACTAATTGACTGATTTATTAATTTTGATTGACTTCAATTGATGATTGACTGATTGACTTTGATTGACTAAATTTTATTAATTAATTGACTGATTGAATTTCATTGATTAATTTATTGGCTACTAATTAATTTTGAATCAAGATTGAAAATGATTTATTTAGCATGCATTCATTTATAATTATCATTAATAATACAGTACATTTTGTAGTTTTAAAATAAAAAAACAAAATTAGCGCTTCAAATAAATAGAGCTTATTGTATTCACAATTGCTGTGAATTATCACTTGCTGTACTTCATTGGTGCTGCTTCCTAACACCACTTTGAAAATGTTTTTTGTAATGGCTTTTTAAACACCTATTTAGTATCCAAATTCTGATTATTTGTATTTTAGTCATTTCTTTGGATCACGCAAGTATAGGGAAGTCAACTAGTAATAACTTCTGATGCAAAAGTGTATCAAATCAAATAGATAGTTAATTATATAAATAAATAATAAATATATAAAAACATGCAAGTAAACATATTAAAAAGAAATTACCATTGATAATAGAATAAAAGATGAAATTGTGTAGGTGTATGCTATTTCTTTGTCAAATATTGACATGAAGATTGACTGTTTTTGTATGAACATTTAATGGGGTACTTGACATTTTTTGGAATGTTGTATTGCAAACTATAATGTGTAATAAAGTCCCTGTTGTTGAAACAATTCTGTGCACATGCAAATGCTATAATTTAATGATAGTTTCATATGTTTGCCAGAATCTTCAATGGAGTCAATCTTACTCCTGATTAAAATTACATAACAAGTGTTGTTTTGACTCCTTAACTTTTCAAAAATTATGTTTTGACTCACCAGTGTTGGCATGTCTGCCAATGTGGACTTTCCTAAATAAAAAAAAAGAAAAGCCAAGTGGCTCTACTCATCAATAATTTTCCCATGTAAAGCAGGGTACCATCCAATGTTTGGTTTTTCAACTTGAAAATGTATGATCAGACTTTGTCTGATATATCATGTAAGACATAAATGTAAGAATAAACAATGCAAAGAGGCCTGACCACTTTTAAAATAAATGACTGTCATATACAGTACCAAGAGAACTGCTTTCATCCTGTATCAAAACAATAGAATCTTTAGTTTTTAAAAATTCCCAAATTATTATACTCTACAAAATTCTAATAGGCCTACCTTTAATATTGTGTTAGTAATAATCTAAATATAGATTTTAAATATGTCTTTCAAGTTTGAACAACGCTCTACTCTAGCAGAAAAAGTCTGATAAAACATTTCCTTTTAAATGTGACATACACAAACTTGATGGTGTAGAATATGGCCAAATTTATGCTTTGTCCACACTATCAAATTTCATGTGATAAAAAAATGTGATATGCCCATATTTGGGTGTATTATGACATCATCATGCCCATATATGGCCCAGGCACAATCACACAAATTTGTCACAAAAAGATTTGAATTTTTTCATAAAAAATTTGATAGCATGGAGAGAGGTTTAGACACTTCAACCTGGCTATGAACCTATGATTAATATCTCAACCGTTTTTCTAAAACTATTAGGAAGATTTTTCAGAGTTGAATCTTTCTATATGAGTAATGGCACAATTGGAATCGCAAGTTTGTTCAGACTTTGTTTGAAGTATAATTAAATCACTTTTTGATTACTAAAAAAAAAAAAAAAAATCCAATTATACGACATAAGAGTCATGATGAATAATAGGGTTAGCCGTGTTACTTATAACAGTGAAATTAGCAATTTTTTATATAAAATTTTTTATTTCCGTTGCGGCAACCACAAATGCACAGTCACCTCTTTTTCACTTCATGGAATTTACTGCTAAAAATTTCTTTTTTTTTCCCACAATTCTTATTTTACCTAACCTTTTCAGCTTAAGCCTGAATCAGACGTAAGTATTAAAGCGTCTTTGTGTCAAAAGAATATTGTGTTTATTCTGCTTTTGTGGCAAAAATTCCTGTCTGTTCATCCATAGCTTTGTACAAATATTTCAAGGATTCTTCAGTGGTTTTTTTGGGATGTTCTTGTAACAAGTTCATATTTTGTTTGCAATGTTTTTTTTTCCCCTCAGGTGGTTGCAATACTGACTTATAATACTTTTCTAAACATTTTTTATAATCCTATATATGAAATTATATCTGCATTTTTGCAATAATATAACTTTTTATTATTGAGAATTTATAAACATAAAAATAAACATACATCATTCACTGCATAATTGTGTAACAAGTTCTTGTTATTTAGACATTTTCCAATCTTTTTAGCCTTGAGGGAGTGTCTGGCTTAAAAATCTAAACAGTGTATACAATCGTACCCTGATATGAATTGGTTTGGTTTTCTTCAGTGTGAAACACACCAAGCAACCCACACAAATCTGTAGACTTAATTTTATTGTGGTCCTACTTGTGGTGATTTTCCAGTTCACCAGGAAACAATCCCCTAGGCCTACTCTGAAATATCAAAGATTGTACTGCTTGTATTAAACATGCAGATAATCCATATTGCACATTATCACCAACAACTTAAAAAATCTCTTTAATAAGTTTCGATAGCGTGAACATATACATATATATTCCTCTAAACGTAGTTATTTCCCCTCCCCCCTCCATGCATGACCTTGTAGTATAGTATACCGTAGACTCCTTCCTCTTGTGTTGTATGTTGACTTTATAGTTGTTGTTCTTTTAAAGTTTGTATTCGGCATGAATTTCAATGTCCTCTGTTTTGTCTTTGTGTTGATAAATTTGCTTCAATTTAAAACATCAAACCAAATTGTTCACTGCTGATATATACAGACCTCCGCAAATATTCTTCAATTGTTTACCAGGCATTTTGAAAAGGATCTATGATTCAATAAGGCCAAATAAAAAAAATACTAGTTTCTCGTCCCCTCGCGCATCTGTTTTCTCTGCCTCACCAATTTTTTTTATTTTTATTTCCTTTATTTTACGAAATCAGGAAAATTCCTCTCTTGATCATTCATGGTTGGGGATACATATGTGGCAAAGACAAGCCAAACCAGTCACTCGTCGCAAAAATCGATTTTGAGTTATTAATACAGTGTTAGGGAGTAAAATAATAGCTATAAAATGGTAAAAAAATCATTCAAATCGGACATTTCCTTATGAAGTTACATAGAGCTGTTTAAAGAACAATATATGAGAAATCAGCCTTCAAAGTTTATGATTTCAGGCATTTCTCATGCAGAAACGATCATTAAATCCTTAAAAAGTGTTGTTTTAACATTAATATCTGGGGAAAATAACAGCATAGAATGATGTATAGATATGTAAAGGTTAGTTTAGTATAATAAAATAAATTTTTAAAAATTTGACATTCCAGCATATTTTGGCCATTTTCTCTGAAACACGATTTGCGACGAGTGACTGGTTTGGCTTGTCTTTGCCACATATGGTATGAATCATGTCTAGTGCTTCTTTTATTTGCTTTCAATGCGTCTACTTGGTAAAATTGAGAAAGTAGTAGCTGTTTCCCATCGACCATCTTGGATTTGCCATCTCGGAGTAAAAAAAAAAACAAAATTGCCCTCATTCTCCTTTTTTTCAAAATATTAGGACGAGAAACTAGTTTTTTTTTTTTTACTTGGCCTTATTTGTTTGTCAGTTGTCAAGGAAAACATTTTATTCTATTTTTTAATTGAAGGCTCAAGGTTTACAGCCTACTTTAAACTAAGCAATTTAATTATTTAATTTATTTCTTTATATTTTAGACACTATATCATTTACCTCATAGAGTGCAATGCCAAAAGCCCTCGTTAATAGTACCCAAGTCATTAAACTCAAATACCCACATAACACTTTCTTAGCACTTTTAAAGAGAATTCCATAATGTTGCATCAGGTCGTTGACATCTGAACTTACTATAACAGGTACCCACCATATTACATTTAGATGGAAAGTATTTATTTTGAAAAATAATCCAATTTAAAAAACATCATAGCCATCAACCTGGGGAATTGCCCTCCAGTTTTTTGCCAAGAACTACATGTTTCTATTTCCTCTTTCGCGTTTTTTCTCTCTATAAAAGTTGTTAACTACTATTTTATACCCTTTAAATTATCAACTGTGGTAAACTAAAACATTAAATCATAGTTTATTGTTTTTCGAAATTTTATTAATTAACTAATAATTAGGTAGTGAAAGTTTTAAGTTAAATGTTAATCTTGAGTAGTATGACTGTAAATTCAAATGATTGTGCATTTTATGTGTTGACAGTGCCTTCAAATTGTTCTCTATGCAGTTTTCTGTCTTTCTGTTCTTATGCTTTCTACAGTAACGTTGCTTAATGTTATAATCAAATAATTATGTTTATTAAAAGTATGTATTTTGTGCTTATTGTGTATATGATGATGTATAAAGAATTATTGAAATGTATATAACCTAATAATGGGTAGCAATAATATAAGAACTGATTAATAATTTTATTTTTATTGCTTTTTTTTTTATTATAGTATATTATTATTTAATTGTTATTTATGCATTATATATTCATTTATTATCATTATAATCATTCTTTATCATCCTCATTAGTACCATTATCATTTTTCATATTATCAAGATCAGTCATCCTTTTATCAACATCATTGTCATCTTCCTCATTATCTTCATCATCATGTTCATGTTTCTCATTAAAATTAATTTCATCATTTTCCTTATACCGTCACTTTTTCTCATTATCATATACCATAATATTTATTTTATCATTGACATTATCATCATCATTATCTTCCACATTATTATAAATTTCATCTTCCTGATTATCAATCCATCATTTTCACCATCATTATTATTATTATCACACAGTTTTCATATTTTTTCTTCCTCCACGCATTCCTAACATCATTTTCTTCACTTTTAAATTTTTTCCACATTTTATTCCATTTTATTCACTGGTATATTTCTTCATTGGTATATATTGATATTCATTTTGCTGTCTTAACTTTTAACCTTTGACTAACTCTCCCGCTTTCTATTCACCTCACCATTAGAGGGAGCCACTCTGGGTTCGTTTGTTTGTAAGTATTTGCTATTAACCCTCCACATTTTATCTTTTCATTCCTGATTTATCTCAGTTTATATAGGCCTACAATTGTTTCACGATAACATTTCTGAAACCATTTCTGAAAAATTGCAGTTATGGTTCTTGCACATCTGCTTAATGTTGGTTTTTATCTATGGGATGCTATCAATGAAATACAATTCAAAGATTTTAATTATTCAGCTGGTTTACAAACAGCCAGTATGTTTATTTATATTAAAGTTAATCAATAAATGTTATAGAGAATTTGCATATAATTGAGATACAATTTTGTGAAACATGTTTTCCTTTGAAAATAATTATGCATAACATACATACTTAATATTTACCAAGTGTGTACCTGTTGTTTGGAGGTTGAAATGACTTCCAATCACAGCATAATTGAAGTTTACTCCTGGTAAAAGTGTAAGGATTTTTCTTGCAACCAAGATCATTTCCCAAACCCTCATAAAGAGACAAGTGATTATCCCTCCTCAAGCCCCATAAACAGACTAGCTAATGTAGCTCCAAGGTTCGTGAATGATCAGCTGTCTAGGCCCCAAGCCTTATAAGGAGACTTGGATAGGGGTGGGAATCAAGGGGTTTTAAGCCCCATAAAGAGGTTAGGTTATAGAAGTTATAAAGGGTCCCAAATGACTAACTCAACTCTCAACTACCTAGCCTCATAGCCTTAGTTATCTAGCATGGCAGTTCGATAATAAATAGCTTTCCACTCGCAAAACATGATCCAGAGATTTAATCATTGAGCATCAAGGGTTTCTCAATTAACTCACACTACTTCACAAACCTAATAAGGTACTTTGTTGCACTGAGAGCAGGGGGAAGATTTAGAGGGAGATGGGGGAGGACAGGTCTCATGCATCTCCCCTTCCTTTTTTAAAAGTTGATAAAAAAAATTATAAAAAAGAAAGAAAGAAAAAATAAGTAATTGATTGTCCAAAATGCCTCAGAGGTTATTTTCAAGCATCTATAAAACAACAAATTCGCAGGGGCATTCTACAAGAATGGGAAGTGTTGTCTAGATCGGCCTCCTCTTTTGCACATCTCTGGATCCGCCCCCAGAGTCTCAGATAATCATCTCTTCCCAAGCCATATGAATCACAGACCTCAATTAGGCTCCCATTGATATTGCTACTAACGGAATGGCATTAACAATTATCAATTTTGCTGATTTCAACCGTGATTTAATTTGCTGCATATTTATGAGAGCTTATAATAAATAATATGCTTGTTTGTGTGTATATTGATTTCCCATAAATCTGGCTATAAAACTAATATAAACATTGTCATGCATAACAGGCTAGTCTCTGCAGAATAATGGTAGAATGCAAATATGTTAAATGTTTATCCCTTGGGGAAAATTGCTCTGTTTATTTCTTCAATTAAAAGAATGATTGATGATAATTGGTTGTCTCCAGTATTACTCCTAAAATAATTAACTTTTAAATTTAAGAATTGTTACAGTGTACAAAGAGGAGTCTATGGAACGAGTACTACTGGTTTATTTTCCACAACTTTAATGATCTGGATTACTGAATCTTTGTCCAGACTATCAAATTATATTTGACATAAACATGGTGGCATGTCTAAATATGGTCATGATGACATCACATCATGGCCATATATAGTCACATCATTACTTTGTATGGGCATACAGCAGAGCTTTATGATTGCTATGTTTTTGTTTCAGGCTAAAAACCGACCGTTTATTGAGAAGACGATCTCGATGAGCCAACGCCCCTGCAATGAAAAGGGATTCGGGTTCACATTCAGCGGTGGGTCAGAGGTCAAGAAGCCACCAATAATAGAAAAGATAAAGAAGTGTATGTAAAACATTAAATCATTTTATAATTGATATGAAGTTCCAAGATATTTTGAATATATGACGCGTAGGATTGTTGTATACTATTTCAATTTTTCGTTGGTATGAAATTTGTAATTCCAGTGTGCTTTTAAAGCAATATTTAGGATTCATGAAAAACAACCCAAAACACCAGAAGTAATCCAACTTCAAAAAGCTTGGAATGATTTCCATTAAGTTAACTGATGTAATGTTAATCACAATTCAACTCTATCCTACCATATTTGAGAATTTATGCTCAATAAAATACCATTTCAATTAATTATTTAATAAGAATAACAGTAGTCTTTTAATGACAATAATGTTAATAATCATCTTAGTGTTAATACTAATGATAACGATAACCATAATGTTTGGTATTATAGTTTTATATATGTTATTATTTAACATTCCAATAGGTGAATTCTGTGTGAATTTTCCTTTAAAACAGTGTTTATTTAATGGAAATTGGTTAAGTATTTTTATACTTGGCCTTATTTGTCAGTTGACAAGGAAAACATTTTATTCTATTTTTCAATTGTAGGCTCAATGTTTACAGCCTACTTTAAACTAAGCAATTTAATTATTTAATTTATTTCTTTATATTTTAGACACTATATCATTAACCTCATAGAGTGCAATGCCAAAGTCCTCGTTAATAGTACCCAAGTCATTAACTCAAATACCCACATAACACTTTCTAAGCACTCTTAAAGAGAATTCCATAATTCCAGTGTGATTTTAAAGCAATATTTAGGATTCATGATTAAGTATTAGCGGAGTTATGAATATTTAATTCATTGGATATCAGCCATGTAGGTTTCAAGTTTAACAGCTTCTAAAGATTCCAAAATTAATGTTAAGATTTATATTTTAAGAATAATTCTATTATACTTTTCAGTTACATTTAGTGATTGATATATTTCAGAAATGTTCTGCAATATATGTTATATTTACAAAATGCAAAAACCCTGAAAATGTTCAAAATTCTGATTCTCAAATGTTTTGTTAGAAATTGCGAGTTTTTTCAGATCTGGTCACATGTAATTATTTTATCTTTGTAGATTCAACAGCAAGTTCCACTGATATTCAACCCGGTGATGTGATTGTATCAGTAAATGGTGACAAAGTATTGAGTGCATCTTATGAGGAGATTGAGTACAGCATAAGTCACGCTGTACTCATAGGAAAAATGAGTATTAAAATCCGCAGATATGATGAGAATGCAGGTATTTCATTGTTTGTATATAGTTCTCATTTCAAATTTTAGTGATACACCATTTTAAAATATTTTATTTACTCTTTAATCTGGGGTTAATAGAGTAATTGTCCATGTGGCTGAATTTATAAATTTCTACATCTATCGATGCACATTTAATATTACACATGATAAATGAGATAGTCGAAGACCGAAGTCACTGTCAAATGGATACACATTTAAGATATATTTTGAGGTCAACGTAAGGGATAAGTTCCGCTAGTGGAACACAAACTAATCTTCCAATGCACCTTGACAAAGAACATGATGAAGCAGGCATTTGGATTCAATTCAAAACACCAAGGATAGCCCATGAAAGTCTAAAAAGAAGACTTATTTCCACTGGGGTCCTTCTGGTGGTGACCCAGCGATATCCACGGTTCGGCGCGCACACACAGTGGCTACCACCAGATTAGCTGACTGAGCTAAGCTTTCCCTAACACATGCTTGCGTAACATTTTGTCTTGCCTCAGTTATGTATTGATTTTATGTGTCACTGACAGATAGTGTAAAGCTCTAACTATCAAATTTTCTCTGACAAAAAACTCTTGTATGCCCATATATAGTCATGATATGCCTATATATGGTCATGATGTGATGTCATCATGACCATATTTAGTCATGTCGCATGTTTTTGTCAAATAAAATGTGATTGTCTTGACAGTTCTTTGGACATGATTTATTAATGCACAGATCGTTGAAGTATCCATAATGAAAATCTACTTCCCTTATTTTTATTTACATTGACATTTAATTGTTTATGTAATTTGTCAGATTCAGGAAGTGTACCTCTAGACGATAACCCATTCAAGTCAATGCTATCTGACGAACCAATTGTCCCACCATCAATGGGAGTAAAGCGGTCAATAGACAGGTATGTATTAAACTATGCTACCGACAACAAATAATGGCTATGATAGTTACATCTGAGCCAACATTTAAAGTTAAATATAGAAAACAACCTATGTTTCGTACCCTGGATTTAAAAAAAACTTTTATCTTTCACAAAACTCTCAAAAAAAAAAAAAAGATTGTCATATCAAGTTCTGTGACAAATACTCTTGGTTTGCCCATATTTGGGTAGGTATGACATCATCTTGCCCATATATGTGCATATCAGATATAATTTGTGACATAAAATTTGATATTGTGCACCTACAACAGTCATAGTCACACGTATGCCTGTGCCATGTCTACTCAATCATTGTCTTTGTTTATAAGCATGATTAAATGTCTGCAGGTTTTTTTGCTATATGGATGTAAAAATACAAGGCATCAAAGGAATGTGAATCTGTTTCTTTATTGCCTAATTCATTTTTCATTGGTCTGCAAACATGCATCTTCATGTCATTTGGAACAGTAAACATCCTATTTAGCTCTATTATCTACATGGTGTGATTTTGCTATAATGTGGGGTCTGACCTGTTATATTATCTAGACTGCCTTTGACAGGTAGAAGTTTTTGCAATACCCTATCATATCAATAAGGTAGCCTACTGCCCTTTTATGTTTATCTTACCATATGTGTTATAAACCCATAGAAAGATTTTGTTTGTAGTTAAATATCTGATAGTCACTGTAACCTTTTATTTTCACAGATCTTATTTCTTTAAATAGCTTTGGAAAAGAAACTTGTTTTATTGAAAACTTTAAAAATCAACCAAAAATTCCCATGTTTTTTGTTGTAATTTTGCCATTCTTGTTTATTACTTTAACACCCTTTACAAGTAAGTAAAGTCAAAGATTATGTACAGAAATAATTGACCTTAGAAGGAATGCAGATATGACCCAGAGTCCATGTCTTTTATCTGTTTTATTGTTTATTCAACAGAGTGAAGACAAGACATTCTTATTTATTTTTCTGTAGGAAAAAATTTAAAAGGCTGAAGAAATTTCAGTGCTCCAATGCAATTAGAATGTTTACATTTATGCAATTTGATTTTTTTTTAATGGTCGCACAAGCTAAAAATACCCAAGCTAAAGGGACAATAAACACATTGTGTTAGTGAAACCAAATGAGCAATAAACTACCCTTTATAAAAATAATAATACAGTATTGGTTGTTCTCGGGTGGGACTCGAACCCACGATCTCCAGATCGCTAGCCTGGCATCATACCTCTAGACCACCGAGCTTGCGCCTGATGGCCAGGGTTGAATTCGAGTCCAATACTGAATAATCATTGAATTAATCATATACTTTTACTGTATTTTTTTTAATTGTTAATGTAGAAAAATTGCCACACATGAGCAACCGGTACGAGATGTCCCGACAAGTAGGCCAGCGAAAAAAGCTCCAGTCAAGCTACCCGAGACGCGCAATCAATACAGACAGCAGAGTTATTCACCGCCTCTGAACAGAAACCAAAGCAACCATCAACAAGATGAGTCGGTGGTGGATGGCAGAGTCATTGAAGAGCCCATGATCCAGCCACAGAAGAAGGAATCAAAAACCTTCGCCAGTCAGGAACTCTTTAAACCAATTGTGGAAGATGTCTGCCAACAGCATGTACTGGTAAGAGCACTGATTGTTATATAAAGTTTATCTTTATTCTCATCCCTCAGTGAGTACACTCCTCAGAAATGTGTGTGAGATTGTCTGCCATTACACTGCCCAGTTCTCTACCAGAAACATTGTATTAGAAAGTCCCCACCAAAAAGACCCCACCAGATTTTTGTGAGTGATCCTTTGGTGTATTTAAACCTAAAAGGCCAATCCAACCCACTTGCTTATTATCTATCTGTATGTTTTGCTTTGTAATGTGTTTTGTATACTTGCATATCCTAGGTTTTGTAAGCAATTTAGGCAAATTAATGCTAGGAAAGTAAATCGTAATTCACAGTGTTAGTGAGCTAAATTTCATATGTTCGTGGTCAGTGAGCAGCATCATACCTTCTGTAGAGAGATGGTCAAGCCAACGAAAGATACTGTATTGAACCAAAACACCAAGAAACAACCATTATACTACTCTTCTGAATGATGTAGTGGAAGAGTATACAAGTGATGCTGCTTAAACTGCGCACTTATTACTATTTTGAAGCTATACTCGTAGTTGCTTGCATAGAAACCATAGTTTTGGCAAATGTATTGTTTTAGAGAGTGGCAGTCAAACTTGGTACATTCATCATTTCAGCCTATCAAAATGGAGGTTTCAACATATGAACATACATATATGTATTCCAACTTATGAATGTTCGTGTGATTAATTTGTTAGACTATCACTTATAGAGTTACGAAAATGTTTTATCATAGCTAGCTTTAGTGCACTTTAGTTCAGCAGGCAATGTGTGATGACTGTCATGGATGTCTTAATGTTGCTTGCTTGTTTTTGTTTGCTCCACTAGCATAAAGATGAGGGCGCTCAAGATTTAGATGCGCTATTTAATAAGGTGAGAAAGCTGCTTGTAGCCATTGTTACTAATACTGTTGCATTACTTATTTCTCTTATACATAAGATGGTCAGGAAAGGTGTCTCATACATGTGCTCTTGTTCTGGGGTTTTCAAAGCCAATAAACTATAAATAAATTGTATATTTTTAAAGGATTACAGATTTGTTTTTACTCTATTATTAGTAGAAGGCCAATGGCACTCTAAATAAAAGTGGAAATATTTCTTGGCCTATGAGTATTTTCTGGTTTTCTTCCTATATTTACTCATCCTGGGTATTTGGAGTTGTAAACATATACTCTAACCAACATAAACATTTATATATCCTTTTTTATATTATTATTGTTTAACTATGTAAATTTATACATATTTTTAATTATTTTATCAAGAAAAAAAATCATCTTTCATTGTATAATATTTCTCAAAAGCATGACCATTTCAACATCACAAGAATTTTCGAAATGTAATCTTATTCAATAATCTATACGAATACATTCATCTTCATCCCAACAATTTTATTGCATGTAAATATGTCGAAATTGGTTAAATGGGTTGCTATTTTTCCTGGTACATTATAAAATACCCCTTTCCCACTTGCATGACTCTCCCCCCCCCATTCTTTATGTGATGTATGTTGTATCTCTGTGTTTGTCATCTACTTAAATGTTTGCATGCCTTCTCTTTCTTCTCAAACAGTTAGAGCAAATTAAAATTAAGGCTGAAAAAGAAAAGGTAATTGTACAAGTACATCTACAAATCATTAAGTCATTAAAATTGTACTTTTGCATATATCATAGCACAGCTTAGCCCGCCCACTGCCATATGCCATTTATAGTAGCTTCATTTTATGTTTAAAATGCAGCCTGAAAGAAATTTATTTGCTTTAATAAGGATTGATCCTATGATAAATAGAAATATTGATTGATTGATTGATTGATATATATATGGCCTTCATATATTTTGCTTAATTTTTATGTAGTTATTATATTTTTTATTAATTATTATCAGCATCATGACAATGGGTGTCATCATCATAATTATAAACATCATCATCATTGACATCATCACCAACTTCGGCACCAACAAAAGCATCATTATAATCTTCATTGTCTTTATCATTACATCTTCTTTGAGATCCTCCAGGTGGTATCTGTGAATCTCCCCCTTTTTAAGCAAACCCTCTGTAATCAACCAACCAACCAACTCTTTTTTGAGCATCAAAACTATCAAAAGGAAAAAAAAAAATTGATTATTTACAATGCTTCAATTCTAGTGGCTCTTCCTCACCCTCTCCTTTTGCAGCACCTTCTCTTCTACCCCACCTGGTACCTAGGTCTTTCACTCTCTTAGGAAGCCCTACCCCCTAAGAAATTTTGGTTAACCGGCCTGAATACTATAATCATGTTTACCTTCCTTGTTATTACCATCAAGATCATCAGCATTGTCATTATCAGTGTTATAATTTCTATAATTTATTCAACCATTGAGTTTTTTAATCATGAACATCATTATAATCATCTTCATGATATTCTACAGTTTACTGCATTGCGCTTACATGCATTTCATACATTTGAATATTTAAATGATATCCAATGATGTAATGATACTTTAATATTTTATCCTTTATATTATTTATTTATATTCCCAATATTAATATATCTGACTTGTAATTTATTAACTCTATTTTTAGCATAATATATTTTATAGTTGTTTTCAATAAACTTTGCATGAACATATGGATTGCCAAAAACATTTATGTATTGTAATTCTGTATATAATATTACAAAAATATACAAAAGCTATAATTAATATTGCATGAGTTTTTATGAGATATCATTTTGCTGTTTAATTTTACAAATTATGTACTAAAAAGCTTAACTAAATGGAAATTCAGCCCTAAAAGAGGTTTTTAGTGGTTGCACAGGCAAAATATAGTTCAGAGAATAGAATATAGGTTTCTTTATATATTACTTACAGTGTCTCTTTTTTAGATGCCAAAATTATATGCATAATAAAATTAATACAATTTATTATATTAGGAGGACATGCATCATAGACATTGGGTCCATAATTCTCCTTCTCTGTTTGACTTTGTCTTTTCAATACCACCATCATTAAATGCTAAAACATTTTCTATGTGAACATATTTATGAGAGTGATTTTATAGAGTTTATACAAAAGAATTTAATGATTTCCATGCTATATCTGATAAAGCAATTTATATTTTAGGTTTGCTTATATTTATTTACTTTTGTACCTTATAATTACACTGAAAAATGACATTTAAGAGATACTTTACTGTCTTAATATTGTTTATCGGATTTGTAGTTTTGTTCAGGGTTGCCATTTGGCCTTTTTGACGGCCAGATTCCTCAAATCTGACCGTATAAAAATTGCCTGGCCGTAACGTTTGAAAAGTCACAGCCAAACTATCTTTGGCCGTATTTTGTGAAAAGTTTACATTTTTTCCAATAGGCCTAATAAAACATGGACTTGTTTGGATAGGCCTATGTTATTTTGTCCGAGCCGTATAGCCACCGGTACGGTTGGTCAGTTTCAATCTGACAACTTTTTGACAGACCACAAGTTTTGAATAGGAAAAAAGGGCTAAATTCCACCTGTATGTTTAGACTCAACCTACCCTCTCTTTGACATAACCGTATTTATTAAAGTTTTCATAGGTTTGTTTTAACATCGGCTTGTGTTACCTTACTAATGTAACTTTCATTCTAATTAGGAGAGCCACGAATTTGTCATTGAAGATTCTATAACAGGCCCTTAAAATTATTGCTTTATGTATCGACTACAGTGTGTTATTTGATACATTTAAATAACATTTAGAAGTCGATCTTAATGTGACTTTAAATAGGCCTACATGCTGGCGACTAATTATGAACATATTTAATATTATGATGTAGCTAGCTGTGCATTTTATTATGGTGATTAATTATAAAAACAGTGAGAGATTAACATTTTTCTGTGTATATCTTTTTAATTTCTCCAATTTCAAACAAATGGCAGTTACATTTACATTTCTTTTAATGTTTGTATTTTAAATGAATATTATGTATCCACTGTTGTCTTCTAATCGGATTAAAATCTGGGCGAATTTTGGCGATATCAAAAAAAAGTTTGGCCGAATTTGGCCGTGAGATAACGTGTGTTTGGCCGTGAAGCATGTCGGCTATCTGGCAACCCTGGTTTTGTTAGTTGTTAAGGCACTTGTCTTCCAATCCCAATGTCATGGGTTCCAATATGGTTGAAAATAAAACCCCCTAGCCTTATAACAAGACTTTATATCAAATTGTAGTGGTGAAGGTGCTAGTTTATTTATAGGAAATAAAAAAATATATATTTTTTTTAAATATGTAATTTGTTTTAAAAACAATATTAATATCGTAGAACTGTTTAATCAATAATAAACAAAGCACAATTTGATGTAAACTTTCAGCAAGATTTTGTCTATGTTATCAATATTTATATTACTAAATTAATATTATTTCTTATTAATGTTACTGTAAGTATTATCAATATCGTATGTATAAATTATTATTGTTATAATATGGTACGTCCTTTGGAATATGTGAGGTTTTCCACTACTAAATGAGTCATATATAGAATGTAGTCCTTAGTTTATTGAATGAAAGTAAGTATGATTCTTGTTATTAAAAGTATTCTAGTTTTATCCCCTGAGTCTCTTTGCTAGATGACTTGAATGAGCCATGCAGATAGCTTGAATGCCTTGAACTTACACCATAGTAATAGGAGCCCCCAGCTAAACACATACTTACTAATCAGCACATGCTGAGAACATTCTCTAAGCAGGCGGCTGATTGGTCAGCTGATGGAGTACCGGGCGTCATATAAGAAACACCTGCTGGTTGCTGATACCTAAGATATCATTAGTATAGTGTAGTAGACCTAGATTTTGCACAAGTATTACTAATGAATAACCTCAGTTGCATTGGTAGTAGAGTTATCGTCCATATCGTAATATTTCCATGCCCTTGCGGAGAAAATTTCCTGATAAACTTTGGCCAAGAACATCCCTGCTTACTTGGTTTGTTGCAGTAAAATTTTGGAGTAGTGCTTCTACCAGTTTTGGTAGTTATATATCTGGAAAATGTGGTTTTCACTTTACGGTGTCAAAACGCCCTCATCTGCTATTTTTGTACGTAGCTGCTGTTACTCTGTTATGATGATTATCACTACTGCTAAATGTTTGATCAAACTTGCTTTAACTGGAATTTTGATCATGACGTCGTTTTTCTGTTTGGTTTTTAGGATGCGGATGACGAGCGAAGTATGAGCGAAACGGAGGCAGAACAGTACGAGGCTGAGATTATAGAGCAAATGCAACGAGAAGCAGAAGCTGAGAGGCAGCGTGAAGAGCGCCACCGATCTATTGAGCAGGATGAAATGGTTTGTATTTTTTTTTCTGTTGAAAACTTTTATATATTCAATATGCTGTATTGCGTATAAGCCCAGCTTTAAGTCGGTTGCATATGACTAGTAATTTGCATGCAAATTGCACCTTAGATTCTCAGATTTTTTGGAATGAAAATTATTCATTATGTTTCACATAGGTATTGATATTAAACATTGTAATACTTTTTTTGTGTGTTTTTTTTAAATTTTTTTTTTTAAGAATGTGAATAATTTCTTAATTTACTTAAGTAAAGGCACCACGGTACGAAACCTCGGCTTGTTTGTGATGTCCTTTTTCACACTTGCAATATTAGCATTATATTTATGGTTTGTGTGTGTGAAATAACTATTATTCAGACTTCAAAAGCAGAATATGTGAGGAAAAAACTGCATTTTAATTTCAGTGCATGTATTGGCAGTAATGTTAAAAGATATTTTCCCACTATTGATAATAATGGGGATCTCCCAAAACAGGGGCTCTGCTATATTAATATTAGTATTGTTTTCAATAAAATGATTGTTTATGTATTTATTATTATTTATTTATTTTACTGTTAATTTATTGCGAGTTCTTAAGTACTAATTAAGTGTGTATTGCTAGGCCTCTCTTGGATCCAGGCCAGCCTACCATGCAAAACTTCAAGAGAGTTGCTACTGCTTATGTTTTTTTGGTTCAATCATATAAGCCCATTCTCTAAACTTAACCCACTATCAGATTTTACTTTTATGTGACAAACCTAAATATGGTCATGATGACATCATATCATGACCATATATATGCACATCATGACTATATATGGGCATACAACAGCTCTTTGTCAAAGAAAATTTGATGTTTGAACAGAGATTTAAATAATTTTCATTTACTTCTCCAGCCTGTTGAAGCTCTTGTATCCCATACTGTCAAAAAACCAGAACCAAACCTGAATTTTGAACGGTTCCAGGAGCACAACAAACCGGTGAGATCAACATCGCCGTCGTATTCAGTCCCGAAACCATTCAAGACACCAAAGTACCAACCAGTTCCACTGCGTGCTAAGAAAGATCCCGAGCAGGGGCGCGAGAAACTCACTAAACGAAGATCAGATTTCTTCAGTAAGATTCCAGACTTAAGTGTTCTGCCGGTGTTTGGTTATTCAGGTAGAGATGGGTAACTTAGGGGGTCTCATACAAGACTACTCAGCTTGCTATGAAATATTGTTTATTGTTCAACAACCAACTGCTTTCAATATAAAAAAAAAATTGAATGTGAAATAAAATGTTTGTCGATGTATTTTTCTCATACTTTCTGTATATTAATTCATTCGCTTACATGAAAACAAATATTTGAATTTTTGCATACATAACTACATTAGCCTTAAAAATGTATTATATATAAGTATAAATATTACTGATATAATATCATTAGTATCTTTAAAAAACTAACAATAACTTTTTAACCTTTGACCTGTTTTATTGAATATAAATAACTTGCTTGATAACTTTGGATTTGAAGGCAATCATTTTAACCACCAAATTATAGATCCACTCTCATTTGAGTGGTTAAAGATATGTAATTATTTTTATTTTCTAAACAATATCATTATTTTTATTCCAGATTTACCCATTATGAAATTGCCTAACCAAGGTAGATAATATTATCCAAATTTTGGAAAAGCATCTCTCAGATGCAAAATTTTATTTATATTATTAATTTTATAAGAAGCAATTAGTATTGTGGGGTTTCACACACTAAATGGGAATTATTTCATGATAGTTTGAATTAATGCATGAGAAAAGGGTTAAAATTTGAATGACTTATAATCTTCAAGATTCACTAATTTAATTATATTGTTAGCTAAAGTTGGTTATTTAACAAAAAGCAATATTTATTCATAGCATAACAATCAGTGTACCATTAGTCTTGCTGTACCATCACATCTAACTGGTAAGTAACCACACCCTTCCCCCTCCCACCCCCAAACTTCACCATCAAGTCAGCGCTCCACTCCTCCTGGGATTATGAGATGGAGATACCTAAAACTGTGTCTGCGGTTAACATGCCACCAAATGAAAATTGTTATCTTGCAACTAAAAATATACACATCAGACCTTCCTAAAACTAGATATTCAGTAGTAAAAGTTTCTAGCTGTAATGGTCCTCCATTTAAAAATACAAAATGTGTCCAAAGAGTTGCATTATTACAGTTCATCCTGGAAGTTGTGAGTAGTGTTGGATGAGATTATAGAATGAAGTAAAATAATTATATAGAGACCAGTAACGTAAATATTTAGGAAGCATTATGGAATTTTATTTTTAATTTAATTATTTTGGAAATGTTTGGTTAGGTACTGCACTTTTGTGGTATTACAGTAAGATTTAAAGACAATAACTATTGCAATGAGGGTAGACATTTTAAAAATTGAATTTATAGAGTAAAGCCTAAAAGGTTTTGCGTTGAGGGACACTGTTAATTATCTTATTTAAAGATATGATTTTTTTTCTGACGAAAGTGTTTTCTTGGACAGTATATCAATTTTTGAATGACATTTTAGATTAATAAGTTCATTTCAGATGTAACTAAAGTTAAATGAAAATTGCATGAACTTCACTGTCAACACACCCACTTTATCAAATAAATATAAAATGTATAATCATTAGATTATTGTATGCTAATCCTATTTTACAAGCTGATATAAGCTATTTATCAACCTACTTTCCTTAGGTCTTCTCTCAGCTCTTCTCTTTAATTCCCTCACCTCACCCTTCTAATTCTCCTTACAATAATTCTCAACTCTTTATTGTAATATCTCTCACCTTTTTAATTATCTTTACTCATCTAGTTCCCTAAGCTTTCTCTTAATTTTTCCTATTTTTCACTGTCTTTTAGTCTGCTACTCTAATTTCTTCATTTCCGTATTCATCTACTTATGCTTTTGTCTCTCAAAATACAGTTAACGATAATTTAATATTCTGTGCTATGTTACTCTTAATAAAATAAGTTGTAATCCATGTAAACCTTTTTTATAATGATCATAAATCATTCTTTTCCTTTCAGATGAAGAAGATGGTAAAAATGTAGAAGATTTATGGAAACAAGTAGAACAGCAAAGAGAAAAAGAGAAACCCCCTCAACCCACACCTGCCCCCAAGGCAAATAGAAGAAGCTTCAATGTGGATGAAGAACGAAAACGCTTGGAGCGATGGCAACAAGAACAGGAAAGGTTAAGACAGGAGAGGTATGCCAAAGACCAAGAGAAACTTAGGCAAGAGAACCAGAAGGCGTTAGAGAGGGCTGCTGAAGATGAAAAGAGGAAAAAACAAGAGGAAGAGATGAAAATAAATGAAATGACACAAAAACTTATTAGTCCTCGTGAAGAAATTGACCGGTCTGTTGCAGACCAGTTTATGGATAAATTATTAGAAGAACAGCAAATTAGAGACAATGATGCGCGGTCAGCAAATGTTACGGCAGAACGGGAAAGACTTGCGAGGCAGCAGCAGGAAGAAGCTTGGGAAAGAGAGAAGCTTCTGAAGGAGAAAGAACTAGAGAGGAAAGCGAGAGAACGTGAAATTAAATTAAAAGAAGAGCGAGAAAGAAAAGAGCAGGAGCGATTGGCACAAGCACGGAGAGATGAAGAGATAAGGAAGGAACATGAAGCAATGGAACGGAAATTAAAAGAAGAAAAGGACAGACTAGACAGAAAATGGAAGGAACTACAGCGAGAAAAGGAATTGCAAGAGGAGCGGGAACGTCAAGAACGTGAACGACTTGAACAGCTCCGAGCCGAGCAGGATCGACTACGACAAGAACGTTTTAGGTTAGAGCAGCAACAGCTGGAAGAGAAACGACTTTTAGACCAAGAGAAAGAACGCTTAATACGACAAACACGCTCAGAGGCGCAGCAGCACCAGCTGCCAAACAAATCGCAGTATCGACAGCTAGCTGGGATCGCCAAGGAACCAAAAGCAATCGACCGTGATAACCCTTTTAAAGCCGCTTCTGACATAGACTCCTTGGAGGACAAATTTTTACCAAAGGACAGTCAATCAAAGAATAACGCACAAAGCTTTGCACGAGATCGTAATGACAATAAAGTGATACCCGAGAAAGACAGGTCACAGCAAGTATCTTACATGTCAAAATATAAAGGTAAACACTATTTACAAAATATATTGTGTGAGGCTGAATAATGGATATTGTTGCTAAGTTTCAAAAGAAGATAGCATAACCATACCTCAGTGGCATAGCTAGATTACCAGTGCAAGATTTATTGCCGGGCCCTTTGATGTGAAAGGGGAATTCCCTAAATTTCTTTAAAAATTCATTGTAAAGAAGTGCTTCTTTTCCCCTCCACTCCTAATGGCTTAGGCTAGTAATAAATACTAATGATGGATTTGTAACTTTTAAGAGGGGCATATTCAGTCTCAGCAGCTATTCTCAGCTAAGCAAGAAAATTGGTGGCACATAAAATTTAATAATTGCAGTGGCAGATCATGGAATTCGAATGTATTGTAATTTGAATTTAATTTCTTCCCCCCCCCCCATTTATTGTTTTATAATTTTTAAAATTTAGTGGTGTTGGGCCAACTGGGCCCATGAATACACCAAGTTTAATTCCTCTAAAAACCAAATATTATTGATGGGCCCACTGGCAGTTTTTTTTTCTTCCTCAGGAAATTATTTTAAATTATTATTTTTAGGTCTATTTATGAATGGGCCCTTAATAGCCCTGGGCCCCAGTGCTTTGCACTAACTGCACTGGCCATAGCTATGCCACTGATATACATATTTTTACTGATGGTCAATGGTTTAGTTTAATTGAAAGGTCCATTTTTATACATATTTTTCATTGTTATTTTGTTAACCCCTAGGCATCTTTCGGTGATAATCATGATAGTACTACAGGTCTCTGTCCAAATAAAGACAACTTTTGGGACCGGGGGTTTTCATTGTCTTTAGCAGCTTCAGTCTCTCATTAGAATAATAAAAATAAAAGATACTTGTTATTTTGGCACCACAGAATAGTGGTCTTTAATTGGAGGGGTCTTTCATTAGAGGGAGACCTGTAATTGTAAGACCAAAAAACATCTTCCCTGTTGCCCAAGTTGACTGACCCAAAACATTTTTTAAATTCAAGATTATTTCTTTGGAACAATATTATTTATTTTTTACGAAGGAGGAGCCCAAATTTCTTGTGTTAATAATTATGGATTTTGTTAACTATGGTTACATGAGAGCGGGTGATTGTTGATAGTGAATCCTAAAATTATGACCATGGACCTGTAGCAAATGTTATTGTACTTTGGGCAAACCTACCACTATAATATGCTTAAAAATTTAGTTTTTTATTTATATTTCTCCTAACACGTGTATTTGCAGATCCAAGTATGCCTCAGAACACCCATTGGTTGGTTCAGGAAGCCGAACGACGACGTGTTGCTGATCAGAAGAAGCGCAACCTGGAGTCGCCGACAAACCAAATCAAAGGTGATCTTGATAACGAACCGGTACTAGAGAAAGAAAAAGCATTCAACGTTGAAAGCGCCAAAACCGTATTCACCGAGAGTGCACCCAATCCTAAGTACATCGAAGACGAGCAGCCGGTACGGATGAGACCAAAACGGGGAAGCACGAAAGAGTGGCAGGCGAAGAAAGAGAATAGGCGATCAATGCCAACGTTAGATAGTCAGCTTGAAGATGATCCAAGACAGACACAAGATGATGCTGATGTAATCAGACGTAGTTATGGTCTCAATGATACCTTTGCAGCACCCCCTTCAAGTACTAATGGACCCCTTCCTGATGCTGTCATGCAGGTAAATAATTATTGTATGTAGGGAATAAAATCAATATTTTTGAGGAAAATATTTTCGTATTGGCCATGTATTGAGAGAGCAGCTTAGCTCAGTCGGCTAAACTGGTGGTAACCACTGTGTGTGCGCTGAACCATGGAGATCTCTAGGTCCCCGGCTCAATTCCTATCGCTGCCTCTCCTTGTGTTTCAGCTGGAGGGCTGAAATACAAGTTACAATAGCACACCGTCTTTCGGATGAGACGTTTAAGCCGTTGGTCCCGTGTGCATTTACGGCCTATGTGCATGTTACAGAACACAGTACACTCTTCAGAAAAGAGTAGGGGATTGTCTCCCGGTGTACTGCCCAATCACCACCAGAAGGACCCCACTGGAAATAAGTCTTCTTCTAGACTTTCGTGGGCTATCATTGGTGTTTACACCAAATAAATCCAACCCAATCCAATTATTGATTTTGATCCTGTGATTCTAATCATGTGATCATTTCATATTGATAATTAGGCATTACTGTAATTTATTTGAACAAATCAGTATATTTCATATTATACATTGATTAATATTGTGTAATATTGTCCATATATTGATCATTTTGATTGAACCTTATTATATTGGTGATTATTTTGATTTTGATCAGATTTGTCATCTTTATCAGTACCATTTATTGACATTTATTCTTTGTAGACATTTCCCCAGAATAATGTTTCCAAACCAGCCAACACTCAACTTCCAAAACTAGGTCAAGGGTCAGCCTTCCAACCGTTGGGTCAGAAGAAGCAACCGAGGTCAGTGAGTGGTAAAGTGTCATGTACAAACTGTGCCAAACCCTTAGGCCGAGGGGCTGCTATGATAATTGAATCGTTGGGACTTCATTACCATATTGACTGTTTCCGGGTAAGTTCATTCTCGTTTTACTTTACCGTTTATATCTTGATACATATAGAGGCAAACTTATTATTTTCTGTTTTTTTTTTTTAACTTATGTTATCCAACATTTTGTTTTGCAGTGTTGTGTGTGTAGTATTCGTCTTGGTAATGGAAGCAAAGGTACTGATGTGAGGATTAGGGCGTCAAAACTACACTGTCAAAGTTGTTATAGCAACGATGCAGGTGAGATAATTGTATACACTGTTAATGCTAATCATACCTTATACATTTGTGTATATTTCTTTTCTGCTTGTAATTGATTATTACCCATATACAGTAGGCTGTGTGGGTTAGTCAGTTATAAGTACAAACACAAATATAAGCACTAACATTATTTTATTTAATTAATTTCGATATATTTTATTGTCATTACATAAAAAGAGTAATTAAATGCAATGCACTTCAACAAAGGGTGTGCATAAGCATACATTCCTTGATCTTAGTTACAAATTCTCGTGCAGCCGTACAAATTTTCTCCATGGTGGGTCTTTTTTAGCATGCTTATTGGTGTGTAATCCAATTTCTATTTCTTATGACTTTTAAATTTTTTCTTACAGGTTTTGAATTTACTGAAGTTTAATCAACAATAAACTCTTCATGAGAATGATGACCAATTCTAACTTTTAATTTACAAACTGGTGGAAAAAAATCTGTTTAGCACTTTTATGCGGGGTGGATAGTAGTGAAGAAACCAGCATCTGAATTGTACATAAGAAATTTATCAATGTAATATAAAAATTTAGATGCTATTATTTTGTAGAGATTGTGTGGTGAAGTTGAAGCTGCAGTATAGAAATAATTGAAAGTGATTTTTTTTTAAAAGAAAATAATATTCTGTCTCCTATATTGATAAATAATTGTGAAATTGTATAACATCCATTGTCTTCCATACATCCCTGCCAACATAGAAAAGCTCCACATGGAAATCTCGCAATTAAGTAGTAAAAATCAGATTTTTTTATTGTTGTTAATCATACTTGTGTAATTAAAGCGTTGTAAAAGATTTTACATTGTAAGTATCTTGATCCGATCTTTATAATTAGGTTATTCATTGCGGTACACCTGTAATGCTATAAATATACTATTAAAGAATATCAATTTATATTTGACAATAACATGTGACATGCCTAAATATGGTCATGATGACATCACA